TCTAAAATTATTACTTATTTCTAAATATTCAATATTTCAGAATATGAAAAAAAGTTGTGTGATCTTCAAGCCATGAGTACACCACCACTATGCACCTTGCAGCAGGTAAGGAAATGATTTTCTTATTCTAAGAAAGTGAACATTATTTGTACCTACGATTAAAGTACCATATTTAAAATATATTTTTAAATAGAAAAACAGAATAAATTTCTGACTACATTTATCATCTAATTTTTAATTAATTAAATTTTATAATAATAATATTATCATTTTGAAGATAGTGGCGGAAATTTTTTTAATTTGTTACTATTCCATTGTATAAAAATATAGTGTGGTAAAAAATTTTGGAAAGCTTTCTGGAGTGCTTCGTAGCTGATTAAGAAAGGCGCTATATAAATGATCAGATTAGGTTCCTTAAAAAAATTGTATTTTATAAAACTGATTTGCATCTTTAAATCTGTTAAATAATAATAAATACTAGTATAATTGGTTGTGATCATGGAAGTAATATTACAGTATCTTGATACCTACTGTAAGAATAACTATATAAAATCTTAAGTTTGTCAAATATCCATACCTTCCTTGGCGGCCTCTGGCCACCAGCCTAGAGGCTCGCTTTGGGCAGATATTGGTACCATCACGCAGATTTCATATCTAGGGGTGTGCGCACGCCCCTCCAAAAATTTCCAGTACCCGATCAACCCCCACCCCCTTCTAAGTTGCACTCCCCCTAAAAATCACAGTAAAGTAGTTAAAAATCCTTGAAATCACCTTATTTTTTCAAGTTAGCGCCCATCGAACTTATCATGGAGCCCCCAATTACCCTATGCGAACCCAATAAGCATCTCGATTTTTTGCCTCCTAGATGTGCCACTGTCATCACGTGGTGAATTACATTATAAAATCCCCCCCCCCCACACTCAAAACATCTTGCTGCCATTGGCCTCCAGGTAGTTCCTCAGTCCTTGGTTAATTTATTTATCAAAAGCCAACCCTCTTATCAATTATCCTGCACCTCATCATGCTCGATATATTCTACGTCTTTAGCCCTATGTACTGGAACTTAGGACATTATACAATTCTACACCTACGGAACTTCTTAAAATTTGCATTTACTCATATTTCCCAGATGTACACAGCACTTGTTTGTAAATAAATTGAATATTTTTTATTGTAATTTGTAAAATTATTACTTATATCTATATAGTCAATATTTCAGAAAAACCTTATAAGGAATGTTAAAACTTCTACTAGCATATTCAAAAGTTTAATTTGTTTTTATTCTTGTTCAACAATGAGTCTGTATATTATGTATGTGTCTTGTAAATGACTGCTGTAATCTTATTTAAGTAGATATTATTATAATACTTGCAGTTATATAATAGTGTAATTGTAATATCATAGATAATTCTTGTTCTTTTTATTTTCCAGGAAACACAGGCACATGTTTATTGTGGATTTTCGAAGACAAGCATTCAGTAAGAGTTTGTTATTGTATGAAGCAGATAAACAATCGGATGTCCATTCAGATTTGTTGGAAGCTTGGATAACTGAAGCTGTAAAGATGGTTGAGTAAAGAAATGCATTGTGGGAAATCAGGACTGATTAGTTTGAACCCTGGTAACTGAATCTTAGCAACATGAGACTGAGATAAAGCGTGGAAGTCAAATTTTAACATAAAGAAATGAAGTAATGAACTTTGAGAAACTGACTAATTTGTTTGAATTATGTAGTGTACAGTATACTGGTACTTGAAGCTTAGTGAGCTCTGATGTATGGACATGAAGCAGATAAATTGTGGAAAGTCTAAACCACAACAGGCATTTGTTGTGCATTCATAAATGAATGATTATGAATTGAAGTACTGTTTGCCAAGTGAAGTTTGTGATTTAGTAAGTAAAATAAGTGTTGACCTTTAAAAATGCTGAAATTTTTGACTGATTCTGGACCTAGTTAAAAATAGAATGTTGGCCCGATTCAGAGCTTAATTTAAAAGGCTGGTCCATTGTGAGTTAAATTTCTGAACTAATGGCTTATAGATAAAATTCTGAATTTTAGTTGAAATGTTGATCCAATTCTGGTCTGTAGAGTAGTGTAAAACATTGGTCCAATTCTGGTGTAAATTGTTGGTCCTATCTTGGACTAAGTGTAAAATCCTGGACTGAGTACTATGCTGGACTTAGTTAAAATTCTGTTCTTAGTAGATATTCTGGACTTGGTACACATGTAAACGGTTGAGTCCTATTCTGGATATTAGTTAAATTAATGTAAATCGTTGAGTCCTAT